CTGCGCAAATGGAACAATAATTATGACACCTGCTTAGTTTAGTATTCTTGGTTGTCGCATGGTTCAGTTTAGTTGAAAGAATTATGGTATTCTTAAGCATAGTATTTGAAGCCTGTAGCGAAACAGATCAGTTAAGTAAGTAAAGTTTCCTGTTTCTAATGAGTATGCTGATTGAAATCAGTCTGATTAAAAATAGGAAAAAATGTGCCTTTGATGCTTTTGCTGTCATACATTATAAGATAGCGATAAGTATGTTTGTTGTTTATTTCTAGACCGTACATCTATCACTGACCATATTTCATGATCACTGTCATTAAACAGTTTCCCCAGAGATAACATCGGTAGCAAGATAGCTAGGCGTCTGAGCTTTTGGTTGCCCGCGAAACAGCAGTATACAGTCTTAGAAGATGAGTCTGATGCGTCTCAATTAAATGCAGCTGGCTGTAGACAAATGTTAAGAATCTTTTTGACAACTGAGACTTTTAGTTTATCAGACAATAACTCTGCTTGTGTGTCTTGTTGTTAAACTAGACGCAGATGCGTGGGAATACTTAAATGGGAGCAAAATAATAAAAGTGTTGCGATACGGTACTAAGCCAATGTTATGCTTTGCACAAGTAATAGTAGCTGATCTGATCTAATATTCATGAACTCAAGGTAAATCGCAACTGTATAAATTCTTTGCTAAACAACATGTAATTTGGTTATTTATCTATTTCACATTTCCGACTAAATTCATCACTATTTTTTTCATTTAGAATGCAACAGGAGTGAGCCTTTACAGATCCTAAAAACTGTTTCGCCATTAGAACTATGGCCCCATGGAAGTGTTTGAGGGAGACCCAACTAACAGCAGATTATAATAGTATGCTGGATGTCCATTTTTGTCTCACAACCACTTCCAGTATTTTTCGACTTACTTATTTTGCTCTTTCATTTGGAAAAAAACAACAAAAACTGCAGCTCAACATTAACAACACAACTTTTAAACGGAAACTTGGTTTAAACCTTTTTTGATGTTCGATTCTTAATAAAAGTTCTTGAATCTAATGCTACTTTGTTTTATCTACTTAATCGTTGCAAGAAACTTGTGATAAGCGAGCCTCTCAGCACCTAGTTCATGTGTTCGAATGGTTGTGGACTGAATAAAAGCTTTTCGTGCCTATAGGTAACCCTCGTACTATTGATAGAAGAAACCAGAGTAGTGAGTACGTCTTTTATTTCGATCTTAGCGCAGTCACAGTGGAGCGTGGGATTATCTGTTCAGACAAACAAAGGCTTTCAACATTCAATATAAGATAATAAGGAATATAACGCTTATGCAAAATAAGGAAGTGAATGAATACTTGAACAATACTGTTTTGACATATGCTTGGTTGTTTGGGGTCAACTCTTAACCAACCAACCTATGCTGTTACAAGCTTTCGTTCAACAGGCTTCCGTGTCTAGTAGCAGGGGATCACCAAAACCTCCAGGCAGGAACCTAGGTATATTAACAATAAAAGAGGAAAAATAACTTGGTAAATCACAGTATAATTCTATCCTTAAGAATAGATCTAGTTGCCTCTTAAAGGACCCCTGGAATGTCGTTTGAACTAGCTCGGCGGGCAGCGAATTCCAGCACTTGAGAACTCTTAAGGAGTAGAAGTGTTGTCTGAAGTCCGTCCTGCTATGTTGTGTCTCCAGTTTCTAGGTGTTACCCCTTAGGTTTGTATTGGGACTAAGCTCAAGTAGGTGTTAAAGAGGATGTCCAGAAGTGTTAAGTATATTGTAAGCCACTAGGTCACCTCTAATACATCTATACTCTAATGGGTAGAGGTTAAGTGATTGGAGGTGCTCCTCATAAGGTGGTTTGGTACATATCTTCGTCATTTCCTTGGGAAACCTACAGACGCGGGTCCTCTCACAACTTATTCTAACCACCATGAGTTGTCACGGCAGCTGATGGATGGACATGTCTTAACCGTCTTAGTGTCAAATCTCACAGCTCCTTATTCAAATGTCATATGATAAGCAAATAATGCCTCTACCCACACTAATGGAACACGAGTAATTCAAAGGCACACTGTGTGTTACCTTACATTTATCTACGCACTCGCTTAACTCTTCAGTGAGAATATTACTACAGTTCAGCTAAAAATCCCATGAACACCCCTATCTCCATCAAAAATAAATAAGTCTGTATTTGCTCCATGTAGCAGTTTTATTTTTTAGAAAATATGACAGTTAGAATTGGAGTAAAATGGCAATATACAGCAAATGCACATGGTACGTGTCTTCATCGATTAACTGAAATAAAGAATACGGATATTAGCTTGACAGGCTTATTTAGAAAGACTAGTGTCTACCTTGAACTTACTGCGTGAGAACGTTATACTAAGACTATGAATAATGTAGGAATCTAGTCAATCAGGGTGTACGAAGCACTCAAACTGGAAGACAGTTGTCCAAAAATAATTCGAATACGAAGGCGAGAATTCGCAGGTACTTTTCATCGTAAGGTTGAACATATTAGGTACCGGTGACGTCATATCGTAAAAAAACAGATTTGCGAGTGGTGAAATATGATCTACAAAACAGTTAGCTTAATAACAGTTAATTACCTTTTTACTCCCTGATCATGACCCTTCGGCTTTCTTTTATGGCCAAAACAGCAAACATACACTACACACTGATAGCAGATTTCTGGCTTTTCAATGTTAGGCTTGCTTTAACGCACTACGTAACAAGTACAACCCCTCTATTACTGCTATATGACATATTTTTAATAAAAAACCCTCTTCAATAGATTGGTAGTATATGTGACTTCGTCTATGGTTGTCAGAAGTCTGAGTCCTTTCGAAAACAGTGCTGATATCAACTACTGCTGGGCACTCAGTACTAGTTTGACTCGTTGGCGGGATATTGTTGTCCATAATACTGGAGAAAATTAAAAACCGGAGATCGTTTCCTTTCATTTTGCCGATAACATCATAAAGGACGGTTAGGAACGAAAATGCAGACAGTTAGTCACAGGCAGCAGCAACAATTATTTTAGCTAAATAAACGAACTCCGGCTTTGGATATGTAAAAAACAAGTCAAAACAAAATCGATTACCATTTCAAAACATAAGACTAGCCAGCTTGGCTGGAGAAATACATTGATTTGAGTAGCGGCAGCAAAAACCCAAAAAACAATGCTGATTCGGAGTAAATTTCACACCAACATATAGAACATTACAGTAACTGCGGCATTTTAGCAAACATTAAATTACATAGCCACACAAAAGAACTAGCTGAAAGAAGCACAGAACGAAGAAGGTCGACTGCCATTGCTTACAAAGATGGTGGATATAATAATTCCCGCCTCATTTTGATTGGTTGCTAAGCTGAAGGGCACATTTACGAAATTGAGTTGCGTTTAAATGCAGACTAAATATCCATTCCTCTGCTTGCAAATCCCATGATAGTGAAACTTGTGAAGTCATTAGCTGTGAGCTGGCTATCGGATGTAGTACATTTATACTCGGTGCCATCTATTGCAGCCCAATTAGCTTAACTGACGACTATATTTTAGAGCACATTCAGCTATGGAGTGCAAACAACAGATGCTTGATATTAAGAAACTTTAATGCACCTGATATTAGTTGGACTGAGATGGCCTCGGTAGAATCTGTAAACTCCTTTGATAGTAGGTTCCTGATAATAACAATTATAATGAAACATGCATTAGTACAGCATGTATCCAAACCCTCATGCTTGGGTGCAAACCAAGGTTCTTCTTTGTTGGACTTGGTAATCACTCGTGAAACTGAAGATATTGCCAACCTAAGTATTCTTTCGCCGTTAGTGAATAGCCATCATGCTGTTTTGTCGTTCACGTTTGCAGCTAGTGACATGATATACGATCAGGTTAAACCTCGTCCAAATGTATGGAGAGTTGACATGTCAGCAATAGAGGAGTGCGCTGCTAAGACGGATTAATCAGTCGATACTAGTTCATCAGTTGAAGTAGCACGGTCTACATTCAAAGGCAAGTCTAGTTCAGTAACGTCCTAGTTTGGACCATTTCTGGTACCATGTAATTAAGATAATTCTTAGACGTAGGAAAAGCATTAAAATATGTTCATCTCTACTGACTTAAAACGGTACAGAATGCTCGTAAAAGCGTTAATAAGTAAGACTAGACAGTCGTATGAAATAATTGGTTAGGGATTGTAAAAATAGTCCGAAACGGTTATTCTCGCATTTGAAAAGGAGAACCCAGTGAAGTGATGGAATTTCAGTGATCCTGATGGCACTCACTTTAGGATTATGTAAGCCCTATCGGATCTAATTGATGAAGCTATAGCTATACTGGGGCAGTGCAAACTGTCAAGAGACTGGAAAGACTCAATAATTAGTCCTGCGTATAAGGCGGGGAGTAGAAACTTAGTAACTATTGACCTACTTTGTCTAACCGGTACAGTTGTAAACCTAATGAAAAAGATTATTCGGATGGCTGTTGTGACCGCATTTGGAATATGGGATTCAAGCAGAGTCCTTGTTTCAAATATGAAACGGATATGTTGGAACGAGTCAGACGACGAGGGACTAAAATGGTAGAGTGTCTCTCTGGCCTATCTTATGAAGACAGACTGAGACGCCTCAACTTATTTCCGTTATCTTTAAGATAACGGTAATTACCGTTGACCCATCATATACTGAACGATAACCTTGGTATTATTATGTCTTATCCTCTCCTTCCGTCTAGGACTGATAATTTGAAGGGACATTCTAAGAAAGTTCAAAAGTTGAGATCAGATAATCTACGTTTGGATTTTCGTTTCTCGCAGTGAGTTGGGAATTACTGAAATTCCCTTCCAGAACACGTAACGTCAACACCTTCTGTTGATATATCTGAAACGAGATTGGACCTCTTCAGTGTTACAAACTGCAAGGATTAGTAATGGTTGATTGACATCCTATCCTTAGTACTGAAGACTGAAGATTAATCACTTATTAGCTGTTCAAGGTCGTGTAAAATAAGCGCGGTTGGTTTGGATGTAAGTATCAGCATGCAGAATGAAACGTTGGCATTGGGAGTAATAAAGTCTGTACAAAAACTATACCTCGAGGTGCAGTTACCCCACGGATTTTTGGGCCGAGTTAACATATATGATGTGAGTGATAAGTATACTGAACTTTTGAGGGAGTCTGCGGAGACTGGTATCATACAGGTAAATGAAATATTAGTGACCACTTTTATCTATAGGATGATCTTGTTGAACTTTCGGATATGTTCAAAGTTGGTCAGACTGTGAGATGCTTTATTAAGGAAGCTGACAGTAGCCGTGGGAGTGGTTCCACTAAAAGATATCTCGTCTCATTAAATCCGAAAATGGTGAATAAAGCTGTAATATCCAAGCATGTTAAACCTCATATGGTATTTGTCGGGTCTGTCGTTAGCGTGGAGGATCACGGTTATATAGTAGATGCTGGTGTTGCTAGAATGAACTGTTTCTTACCCAAAGACCAAGTTGATGGTTCGTATTTTATTGACTTTTTAAAATTTTCAGTTAACCCCGATCTTGGCAGTTTGATTCCCTTTACTCCATATGTGTCAGATCCTCTGCAGGATAGTAGCTGTAAACGAGTTTTAAAAGTGACCACTCGTTTGGATCCGACTTTATCTCTGGTTGGCATTCATTCATTGAGTTTCATTGTATTTAGTTGAGTCCTGATTCTCGTGCAAACTTTGACTGCTTGCTCCCTGGTACCTGTCTCCATGCTTCAATTGTCAAGAAGGTCACATCAACCTTAGTTGCAGAGTTTTCAGAACATTTTATTTCAATCTCACGCACGCACTACATCGGAAACAAAGAAGATTATCAAATAGGAGCCAAGGTAATTTCTTAAACTAGTTTCCAGTTTTCATTATGCTACTTTAAGTTCTAATCACTGATAAGTCTATCATGAAGTAAAAGTGAATTCCATTTCTATTGAAATTAACAGCTTATAACAAGTTAACGTTTAAGTCGTCATGGTTATGTATTAATAATTTCATATAAATGGTTTTAATAAACCCCTGATTTTACAAATAAGGACGGTCCTGCTATTAAATCTTCCTTCGATGTTGTGAAAGGTTAATAATTAGACTTTACTAATCGGTACCATGTCATTTTCCCCTTGCATCTACGTTTGTCATTTGCAGAACTAAACATTGTGCTGCATTCAATGTGTGCTATATATCATTACCGTTCAAATCTTTTTTTGGTTAGATTTTGTGTTTTCCCCTTGACTGTGTTGCGAAAAATATTGTTAATGGGATATTTGGTTTTACTATAGATTTTCCGTTTCGCTATTCGAAATTATGTACGCTTATGTTATCCACTATCGCTGTTTTTCATCTTTGCTATAGACATGTATTCATCTTTCGAAATATGTTCCAATTAACACTGGGTGTGATATAGCACAAATTACAAAGTTAAAACAATCACAGTTTTGTGACTATCGTAACCAATGTTTGAAGACTCTGTGACATGACTCAGAATCTATCACAATGGCGTAGGTGTATACACTTTGTCTTCTCTTAAACTATAAGATTAAAATTGCTTTATATCTTTCTCTCTACCAACTAATTCTTTCTTCCTGTACTATCTCCTTATATGCAATCCTTCTTTTATATATTACCACCATTGAATCAACTACTTTATGGATTCGGTGTTAATCTTGTGCTAATGAGGTTTGGAAACTTAGACCGATGCATATATGTGCTTGGTCCTACGTTGAAGCTGACTGACTGAGTTAAAATCTGTAACTGTTTGGGATGTATTCCGCAGATCAACAGTATAAGCTAATGGTATAAGACTGACTCGTACTGGCATTTTAAGTATAGGGAGTGGAGTGTTTGAGCATACATATTATTTCACTTAAGCACAGCACGTAAATCATAATGACCTGGTTGCTGACGAAATCTCAGGAAGGATGTGGGTTAATTAGGAGTTGATAGCTGTGTTAGCAACATATCCCACTGTTTATTAATTTGTATATTTGTCTTCAGTTTGGTTTGTGTTGCTCTAATTTCTTTGACACTTAGTTCCTTGTTATTCACATTGAGGATGATACAGGTATTCAGTGTTTGACAACGCTTCTACCAATAACACCTTCTAATATGCTTTGTTCCCACCAAGAGAAATCAAAAGACAGAGTCGAGGAGATCGGAAGAGTGTATTTGGCGATAACCAATATATCGGGAATCTCTGATCTAATCTGGCTAGTGATTGCGGTTGTTGTTGAGCACAGCGTGACAGCACGTGATCTGGTGCGGATGCATGACCGAGCGCCTTCAGCTAGATGAGTCCACTAAAACATATGGTCAGCATCCAATGTCGAAAACCTATTGAGCTATTTAGTTTGGGGATTTATTTACCGCTACAGATCACTCCCCCCCTAGTGGGGCAGTGATGACCCTAAGACGTGGCCAGCCAGAAGTTTAAACCCAACGCGTTTGTCGTTGGTAAACACTCTTCTGATAGCTTACTAAATTTAGCAGCGTCTGGTCGTCTTTCCTTACTATATGGGACCGGGGTACAACATAGTAAAAAAAGAAATGTACAATGAAAGTTTCGTATCCTCATAAACGTCATCGTTCTTTTCCAGCCGTCCTGGAAAAGAAGAAAGAGAATGTAAGTGCATGTCGAAAATACACTCGTATGTGCGTAAAAAAAGGGAAAATAAACTCATGAAAACGTAACAGCGTTAAAAAAATCGTTTTTTTTTGTTGTTTTTTTTTTTAAAAATAGAATTGAAAATATATAAGCCTATTTTAAAAAAAATTTTTTTAATAATATAGAAAATGTCGAGAAGTGCCTTACGTGCAATAGTCATTTAAATGTTCTGGAAATCTTACTCTTCTTCCAGAACGTGTCGTTTTAAGTTTATTTTCGGATACTGTCGAAGTATCATCGTGTGTGTTGGTTGTCGGATGAGGTATTATAAGTATCGGAGTCGTGTCGTTCAATTGTACCGAAGGAAAATCCACGTAGATAGGATTTCCTTCTAAATACGCTGCTTTGAGGCGATCGATGCTGATGCTATCGTTGGTTCCGTTCTTATCGATTATATAGTACTTCGGTTCGCGTTGAAGAACTTTGAAAGGTCCTTCGTATGCTGATTCGAAAGGTCGTCGATGCGAGTCTCGACGAACGAAAACGTGTGTACTATATCGTAACTCAGGTTGAATGAAAACATCAGTTGATTGAGGTCGAGTGGAAGCAGGTTTAACTGAACGCATTGCGTTTGTAAGCCTGTTCGTGTAGGAGGTTAGATCCATGCTCATTGAAGAGGATGAAGGATCCACGAATTCTCCTGGAAGTCGAAGTGTCGTTCCATAAACGAGTTGAGCCGCAGTGTATCCAATGTCAGCTTTCACTGCATTGCGGATACCTAGTAAGACGAGTGGAAGAGCGTCGGTCCACTGTGAAACGTTTGCAGCTGATAGTGAAGCTTTTAGTTGTCGGTGAAAGCGTTCTACCAACCCGTTTGCTTGTGGGTGGTAGGCGGTCGTTCGGAAGCGAGTGCTTCCTAATAGTGTGGTCAGACGACGGAAAAGTTCAGACTCAAACTGACGTCCGCGGTCTGTGGTGATGGTTGAAGGGCAACCGAAGTTTGCTACCCATCGTTCGACGAAGGTTCGGGCCACTGTTTCAGCAGTGATGTCCTTGATAGGTACTGCTTCTGGCCATCGAGTGAAACGGTCTACACAGGTTAAGAGGTAAGAGTATCCATTTGAATCTGGTAAAGGTCCTACCAAATCCAGATGAACATGGTCGAAACGAGCATCGGGAGTTTTAAATGAGCCTAAGGGACATTTATTGTGTCTGATGACCTTAGATTTTTGGCAGCTTACACAGGAGCGTGCCCACTCCCTCACGTCTTTATTCATACCAGGCCAGCAAAAGCGTTCTGCTATGAGCTTGATGGTTGCACGAACACCTGGATGAGAAAGTTTGTGCAATGTGTTGAAGACATTGCGTCGATAATGTTTCGGGACGATTGGGCGATCCCTTCCTGTAGATGTGTCACAAAGTAAGGTTTCCTTACCTGTTCCCATCTGTTTGATGCGTAGTTTAAGGGTTGTGGACGATAACTCTTGCTGAAGATCAGTGTCTTCTTTTTGAAGCTGGGAGAGTTTAAGAAGGTCGATTCCTTGGAAACTGTTCAAGGAATTTATTCGAGACAAGGCGTCTGCAACTACATTGTTTGCTCCAGAAATATGTTGAATATCTGAAGTAAACTGCGAAATGTAGTCCAGTTGTCGAGACTCACGGGGAGAGTACTTGTCAGAAGGAGAGCTTAACGAGAAAGTGAGCGGTTTATGGTCAGTGAATAGAGTGAATTCGCGGCCTTCGATATAGTGTTGAAAATGCCGTACAGCACAATACATAGCTAGGAGTTCCCTACCGAATGTGCTGTATCTCGATTCGGTGTCTAGCAACCGTCTAGAAAAAAATGCCAAGGGTTGCCAGGAGTTGTTAATCCATTGTTGTAAGACTCCTCCGATTGCCGAGTCGGATGCGTCTACTGCGATACTAATGGGTGCTTCAGTGTCCTGATGTGCGAGCATTGTTGCTTTAGCGATCAGTTCCTTAACTGTGGAGAATGCTTTTCGTGCGGTGTCGTCCAAATTAATGGATTTCGCATTTCCACGCAGTTGGTCAGTAAGAGGTTTCATAAGTAATGCGCATTTCGGTATGAAGCGTCTATAGAAACTTACCAGGCCGTTAAACGTGCGTAATTGCTTGACGTTGGTCGGTTCTGGGTAATCCAGAATGGCCGCCACTTTGGTCCTAAGAGGTCGAATGCCTTGAGCATCGATAGTGTGTCCTAGGAAATCTAACGAATCGGTTCCGAATCGGCATTTCTGAACGTTTACAGTAATGCCATGTTTTTGTAATCGTTCGAAAACAAGATCCAGATGCTTGAGATGTGATTCTCTGTCCGGACTTGCGATTAAGCAGTCATCAACATACGCATGTACGAAGTTGAGGCCTCGAAAGACGTCGTCTATGAATCTTTGGAAAGTTTGCGCAGCGTTTCTTAGACCGAACGGCATTCGCAAAAATTCATAGAGTCCGAAAGGAGTTATGATAGCTGTTTTTGGTATGTCGTTTGTAGCCATAGGGATTTGGTTATACGCTTTAACCAAGTCGATTTTCGAAAAGACAGTTGTACCTTTCAAGGTAGCTGTCAAATCGTGAATGTGTGGCAACGGGTAACGATCGGGAATGGTTTTTGCATTCAATCGCCGATAGTCACCAGTCGGACGCCAATCGTTGCTGTCCTTTTTAGGGACCATGTGCAACGGAGATGCATAAGGGCTGTTTGACGGTCGTATGATTCCTAAGTCTATCATATGATCGAATTCGTTTTTCGCTAACCTCAGCTTTTCCGGAGCTAGTCGTCGTGCTTTAGAGAATACAGGTGGTCCTGTAGTCGTGATGTGATGTGTAACATTGCTGGTTACACACGGTAGTTTCGTTTGAGCTTGTTGTATCCTAGGGTACTTGTCGAGTAGTGGTTGATAGAGTGGGTCTATCGAATGCTTAACTGTGACTGGGGATAATCTACAACCAGAAAAAGAAGTTACGCAAACGGATAATTTAGTGTTTCCATCTACTAGCCTCCGTTTGCGCGTGTCGATGATTAGATTATGATGTTGTAGAAGATCCATACCAATGATTGGCATAGAAACATCTGCAACAACGAAAATCCAATGAATGGGTTTGCGTAAACCCACGTTAAGGTAGACGTACCTTTTGCCATACGTGGCGATTGGTTTTCCATTTGCCGCCTGTAAGTTTAGAGTTGATTCGTGGAGCCGGTCGTTATGATTTGCTGGGAGA